TTGTGAAAATTATTCTATAATTTTTTAGTGCTGTTAGCTGTCACATTAACTAATTATTTTTTGACGTTGTATTCAATGTTATTGGTAGAAGCTTTTTGTTTTGTTTTCGTAATTCAATTAATTTGATGAGCCAATGTTTATTTATATTCCACACCTTGCTTTATTTAAGTCTATGTATGTACTTATCTCTTTTGTAATTATTTCTCATATAAGCAAGTTTTTTAAAAAATTTTAATGTCTACTCATCACATTTAAAGCAAAGTTAACTTGGTTTTAAATAGCTTCCCAAGTCATTTTTATTGGTGTGTTTACTTTTTTATCTATATTACTTAAAGGAAATTCTCAATTCAGCTTAGAGAGCTCTACTCTACAAGGCCATTCATAAACCGACCTGGACGTATGCAGTTCAGCTGTGGGGTACAGCAAGCAACTCTAACGCTGAAATATTGCAAAGATTCCAGTCAATCACTTTACGATAGGTGACAGATGCCCGTTGGTATGTAAGACAATGATTAATGACATATAGACGTAAAGATTACTAGGATAAAAGACATAATAAAAAGGTTAAGTTGTAAGTACATCCATAGACTTGTAGTTCACTTAAAATTTGTCTTGTCTCTGTAAGACAAAAGTGAAAGAACAAGACGACTAAAAAGAAATCATATTCTAGATCTACTTTATAGAACCTGAAGAAATTTTAGAAATTTTGTGTATAAATCATATTAAGATAATATAGATATATAGTTATAAGATAATTGATGGGTATAAGTATAGGCTAAGAATTATTTTATATGTAATTAACATGAATGTATTTTAAGTATGCAACAGTTAATTTCACTGGAAGTTAATTGTTACTGTATGTATTCATTAAATTTGGTAGTTTTAAAATGATTATCTTTTATCTTAATGATTATCTATCTATCTAGATAAAATTGCATAAAAAAGAATATTAAGTATTTGTAAAATAATAGTTTTACAAAATTATTTGAGATAAAAGTAACGAAAAACGATTTAAACAAATTTGGTGATGATGATGATAATCAAGAATCATCATTATCATTTGGTGATCTCATAGTGTTCTCTCGGTCCGAAATCTTTATCAAGTAACTTCGCAACATAATGCGTCCATTAACCGCAACACAAATAGATAACAATAATATAAGTAATCGATAGCGAAATTAATTAAGAACAAGCCTCCAAGTATTCTTTTGTATAAATTATATATTCCTTCAACTGCCACAGTTAATTACTAAATATCAAACTTTGTCATTCATTCATAAAAATCAATTATTCTGACTTGATCTCTTTTAATAGCAAACAAACTTACGCTATTGATCAAAGGTTTTGCTTACGTAAGTCTTAAGCTATATAATATATGAAACTATTACCAAGAAGTGAAAATCACCTCAAGTAATGAAAATATATCCTTTAAATAGATTATAGAATCTTCATAACAATTAAAGTGCTTGAACATTGCAATATCATGCTATATAAGAACTCTTTTCATAGTCTTGATTTGACTTTTCTACTTTTTGGTTACGGATGATTCGTTTATAAAATCTAAATGATTCTTTAACATCTTTAATATCTGCAACGAAACCTTCCTCATGGGTATATAATATAATTATATGTTTCCAACTCGCCATATATGGTAGATGTTAGATGTTACTTCTGGGTAAGTAGGCAATTGAAAAATATACCCTTGTCTTTATAAACCAAAATCACGCTCTAGAAGACTTCAATAATAACTGTCCGACGGTATGGTGTTGAAGCTTGGAAGATAAATGGTTCCGTATGCTTTGATAACAAGCATCGCATCAGACAAAACAATGTGCGGTAGGAACATCAAAACTCAGCGTCTTCGTTGGCTTGGTCATGAAAATGCTTTGCTCAAAAATGTGTTTGACTTGGTGAAAAATCGCAAGTAGATAGCACAATAGAGGACAATAGAGAGCATCTTCGGTAGAAGAACCAGGTGTTCAATAATATAAAGACACTCAGTACTACCAACTAGCAACAGCTAGCCTCTGATTAGGTTAACGGATTACCACGCTTAACCTTGCAGATATTTGTGGTTGGTACCTATAGTTATTATATCTTTTGTATATATGTATGTGTGTTAATGAAGTTAATAATTGAAAACTTAAAACTTTTTTCTGACTAATAATGCAGTTAGAGGTTTGCTTAATTTGACATTACAAAATACATTTTCATTTTTGTAACCATTTTCATTTCTTTAATAATAATAACAACACGTTTGGTTCCGATTTTATTATAAAAAATATTTCCCAAGCATATCATCCCGTGTTGATAGTGTTAATTCGCAACTTGAACTTTTCTGTAGGGCTACGCAAAGAACCTTATTTATCCTTAACCTCTCGACACTTTAAAAACGAAAATCCTTTAAATTACGCCAGAGCTACTGTCAGCTTTTTATCGACAAATTATTAAAAATTTCTATAATGGTTTTTATATGTTTTATAATCCGACTATAAGGCACTTGTTGTTAAATTAATTCAACGTTTGTTTAATAATTTTAATTTACGCTATATTTCGACTCTCCTTGCGAGAGTCTATATTGCAATGTAGACAATAGAATAAAGAGGCTGAAGTAGATATAGTTTTATTAAAATTAATTTTTTTAGATCGTGATCCTGATGATGACTCCCAAAAAGAGTTGAAATATTGAATATATTTAAAACTATTAAACAAGCGTTGAATTATTAGACAAAAGTGACCTATAGCCGGATAAAAAATATATAAAAATCATTATTAAAAAACAGGTGGATAAATAAATTCAAAATTATAAAAATTACCTTTATAAGATACATTGCTGTGATATATCCCATGAAGAATATTTCAAAAATATTATATGTTATACCTAACGGCAAGGTCCAAACAATATATTAAATTAAAGTTTCAATACTTATCACAGGTGTATTTTATTTACACTTACTTCTGGAACCAAAAAATGAAAACATTTATATTATTTAAAAATATATATTTTTTACATGTATTTGTAGTATTCAATTAAGATTATTAAATTTAGCTGATAATATTTTTATATTATTTAATGTTTCTCGTATATTAAGTTATAAATAAACGGTCAGAATTATTTATAATAATTACTTATGACCAATTTATTCACCACATCTCCATATGTTGTCACTGTATTTCCCACCTTTCGATAAAACCACACTGAAAAAAAAAGTTCAAAAGTTGAGTAAATTCATTACTTAAGTACTGTGCAGAATTAAACAGCAGTCACTGGCTACTGTATTTCATACACTGTGCCCAGCGTCTGAATATTAAATTATAACTAGGCAATCTTATTAACTTAATTCTTAATTTTAAAAGATTTAATAAGCTAGACATATTATAAATCTTTTTCATATACTAATCTTGTATTACATTCACACCACAGACTTTCAGATTATATTTTCATGATGTCAAGACCTATAAACACCTTTTAACTTTAACTTTAACATTAACTTTAATATAAAACTTTAACTGTAATCACATTAAGGGACTCCATTTATTTCGATTTTTATTATGACGAAATTACACGCAAATCAAAAAATTCATAGATAAAAAATATTAGATTTTATCACACATCATTAGAATAAATTTAATTAGTTTTAACAGTTATTTGTTTCAATTGCTTTTTACCTATAATTCTCTCTGTTTTATTATATATTTTAAATATAAACTATAATTATTTTTTTAAGTTGTACTGCTGAAAAAAGTGCACAGCGCTCTCTATTGTTGAATAGTAATAGAAGGAATTATTGCTTTAAATAAGGTGAACTTTAAATAAAACTTTTTTTTTGTTTGTGCACTATAACGGAAGGTAAAATTTTAATTCAAACTAAATATATTATAAATGTCAAAATAATCCTCAAAGGATGCAGTGACGCGGTGACAAGTTTCCAACCCATTTTAAAAAATCCAAAAAATTAATATAATCATTTTATTGAATATTGCTCTATCGGAAGCTTTTGTTTGTTTACATTTTATATATAAAACATATGTCAAATGTCGGTAATTCCCATTTGACGAATTTATTTTTGAAGGTTGCATTTGACATTTTTCGCCTTAAATCAATTGATTTTGATTTATTTTTATAAAAGCTCTTTGTATGGAAAATTAACTTTATTAGTGGCCTTCATAATTTAAACCACTTAAATGGAACACCGTAAACGTGCTTTTAATTTAGTGTTATGATTTAAATGCAAAAACAATTCATTTCATTTTAATTATATTATAATAACTGACTTTTATTACAAAATATCTTTATCTTGTATCTGATATGTATTTTGACTTAAAATACGTAAGAGAAACTCATATTAATTTTACTTATGTTTTTTATTTTTATTCTTTGGATAATTATAGATATTTAAAATTCAGAAGTTTTTAAAGCAAGATGAATTCTTAATTTACATAATTTTAAATACAATTGCAGAAAGCTTAAACAACTTAATTTAATCCTAAAGTAATTGAAACCGATTTGATTCTATAAGAAAAAAACATATATAATTTTTTGTTTCTATGAATACGTAATATTGCTACTTTTTACAATTGCCATCAATGTTATAACACATAAATAAAAAACTGTAATAATAAAGACTATAAATTCTGTTTTACACATAAATGAAATTAGTAAAATAAACCTAATCTATTTAAAACATATCAGAATATATGTTGACTACTTTATGCCCAACTAAAATTTGCTATACACAATTACTTATTCTTCTATGTTTCTTTACTTTTCTACGTTAATGAAATGTTTGACATTGTCAGCTGTTTGAGAATATATTTTCGATGAACGAATATTGTTTCCGTCATATTTTCGCCTACATTGTGATTTTCTTCTACCACGAATATACTTTTTTTAAATAAAACACTAATACTTTATAATAAGTTTTATTGAAAATATAAATTATAAATATTAAATATGTTAACTAATTTAGTAAAAAAATTATTGAGACAGTTATAAAGAAACTTAAAAAAAAATTCTGTGATCTCTGAGCTTTTGTGTGTTTCACTAACAACAATAATAACAAGTTAATATTTTGTCATAACCGTTTTGTACAAAAACAGAATTAAGTATAAAATAGTTTCGTAATAATAATGTCCTTCGATGCAACCGCGTTACCTACTGAACTTCTCGTTGCACCGCAACCACTCATTGGTTTCTGTGGTTTGGATGTAACACGAAATAGTGTACATAAATCAATTTGGGATGCATTCAGCACTAATCGTAAAGCCGATAGGTAAACACATTATTTTAAACAAATTATAAACAAAAATAAATGATTTTTTTATTTGAAAATTGAATAGAGCTTCGGTCCAGTTCAAAGTGTTACCTGCTAACTATGATTTTCCAGTGGCAAAGCCAAAACGTGCTTCCTATGAATGGTATCATCCGAAAGGCATACTCAAACGTAATTGGATGTTAAAACATTTACACGTGCTGCCTTCAGTTGTGGTACTCTTTCAAGACATAGAATGGAATGATGCACAATGGACAGAGAAGCAAGTACAATGTGCCGCCACTATACAGGGACTTAAAAATTCATTACAAGTAATTATATGAATATATATATATAGAAATAACTTATTAATAGCATAATATGATTATCAGGAACGTAATACTCGACTTTGTTTGGTGCTATTACAAAAGGCTGCGCCTCTACCTCCTGGTGAAGATCTCTTAGCATCCGAACGTGCTGCAAGCCTGACAACTGCATGTGGCATCAACAGTAAAATGTTGTTTATACTGCCGCATACAGAACATTTATTAGGTAAACAATTTTTAAGAATAATATTGTTTTAAATTTATATAATATCCATTATATTATTCACATATACATTTTGTATTTATAAAGAATATTAAACTTATTTTAATCTTTTTATACCCTATAGGCTACACACTAAGACTTGAGTCTGCTTTCGTAGATATGGCTCAAGCATACTATACACTAATGTCCAAACGTATACGAACTCATAGAGATCAACTGACAGCAGCGCATGTGACGCTTAAAATTCGTCATCAATTCAAGCTAGGATTTGTAGCAGAAATGCGACAGGATTTCAGCACTGCACTTAAGTAGGTTCCTAAATCATTTATAAAATTTATACTAGTGGTTATATTTTTTTTGCATTTTTACAGGCATTATACTCAATCATATGCGGGCCTCGATGAAATTCGAATTACTGATACAAATTGTCTTGAAATAAAAACGGTAGCTGGTTTCCTTAATTATAAAATATGTAGGCTGATGTTTAAACTTAAAGTACCAAGAGATGCAATAAATCATTTTATAAGTCATATAGATAAATATAAAAATCGTGTGGGTTTTAAGGATTTATTATTCGAGCACTATGCGTGGCTGAGTACACAGTAAGTAATACTAATTCATCGTTAAAAATTTTATTGTATATTTTCTTTAAGGCATAGTGTATTTGCTGATCTATTTTGTGAAGCTGTGAAGAATGGTTTACCAGCCTTACAAACACAGCATCCTGGCATATACTTTCAAAAAGCAGCTGAATATATAATTAAGCGAAAGGAAGCCTTTTTTCAAAGTAGCGGTAGGTTTTTTTATATCTCATAAAACAGTGTGTAAAATGCTTATTAATCCCTAATGCTTTTAGCAATTCTACTTAGTCCTACGGAGCCAATGAGTCCTACAACATTACAAAACAATAATACAATGAATTTATATACAGAATTTTTTGGAATTCGCGCTGTCAAAACTGGCGAACCCGCTTCTGAACAACAAACTATTATGTTAATACGTGAAAATGAAAAATTATTTAATCATTCGGTAAACAGAAATATATAATAATGAATAATTTTTATAAAAACTTTAAAATAATATTATATTTTTTAGAATGCCATTATTAATTTACTTGGTCAGGCAATGGGACAATTTAAAATTTATAAATGTTTAAGGTTTCGTAAAAAACTTGCTATTGATATGGCGGAGGAATATTTTAAAAGTGGTGATCATGCCAAAGCCTTGACGTGCGTATAATATATTTTTATTCAAAACACATTATCACTACGTCACAAAAAGCGTTTCTATTATTTAATTTGGGCAACAACTGTTTTTATTTTTCCACTCAATATTTATTTTATATTTAGCAAGTATATTTAACGTAATGATTTGCTATAATTTGTTGAATTAATATTCATAATTTTTATATTTTTATATAGTTTATATAAAATATTTATATATTTATGTGTACATAAGAATATCAACATAAAATTATATATATTATACTTATAGTTTATATGAAATATTTATATATTTATATGTGTACATAAGAATATTAGCATAAAATTATTAACAATAATTTTGGAATTATTCATATGTTTAAACATTGATAAGCCTGTTATTTTATGCCCTTGATCTATTTAATATTCAAATATCAGATGAGTCTATAATTATTGTTTAGCATATTTTGAATAATGACTTATTATTGATTTATCATATATAAATGTTTATATTTGTTATTTAACGAAAAAGTTTTTTTTTTAGACTCTACTCATTAATGTTACCTGATTATCGCTCAGATAAATGGTCATCTATATTTTCGGATGTTTTAATAAAAACTCTTCGCTGTGCGTTAATAACAGCATCAATTGCTGATTATGTATTATGTAGCATTGAGGCTTTATCTCTGAAGATTCGTTCCGAACAAAAAGAACGAATTGCGGTATTAGAAAATCTTTGGAAAGTTTTTCAGGTAAATACAGAAAAACATATTACATTACTCTACTATAATTAATTAATTTTATATTAATTAATTTTATATTAATTAATTAATTTTAAGAGTGTGCCGCCAATGCCTCAATCACAAATAGCACCAGAAGTAAGAGATTTGTGGGAAAACACATTTACAACTATCAAATCACCAATACCTATCGATTTGGATAAACTAACCGAAATATTTGAAATGTGTACGACATTTGATGGTGCAGAATTAAAAACCAATGAAGAAGTCCGAGTACATCTGATAGTCAGGTAAGTGCATATAAGTGCATATATATTTTATTTTGAGTATAATTCTATAAGGCTTTTCGAATATGTTGAATATTTTAAACCTAAACTTAGCTACACAATAGTATCATAGTTACAAAAATTTATTCTGAATTTGAGTATTTTCATTACATAACTACAGTGGTTTTATATTATTTATTAATCGAGAGTTATACTGAGTTTTTTATTAAATTTTGTTTTATTAAATTTATTTGAAGCAATACTTCTTTTAAATGAATGGAGAATATCTGCATTGTTGTTGAAGATAGCTAACTGAGATAACATGATTTACTGAGAACAATAAATAGAACAATAAATCTGAGCACAGCACAATTACAATTTGCCGGAAACAACCTATTTTTACTATTTGTTATTACTATTACTATTTTTTATTATTTAGCCCTAAAACTACTATTTTTAGCGTATAAGGTCCGATTTTCTTGAATAATTATGGCACCTACCTCTTCTTATTTTTTCATTTGATATAAGATACCCAACTAAATATTTCTTTCGTTTATGTATTGGGCAAACTCTAGCACGTGTTTTGTGATCTTATTGTCATTCGTACAAATAACACAAAATTAATTAAAGTAAATTCTCAGTACTATAACGTGATGATTCATGCTAGAGAGCTTTATCCAAATTCCTACAATTACTTTTATTCAGTTGCCTACAATCCTTGAATTGATTAGGTTGAAAGTCTCTATAAAAGACAAAGATAGCCCTGATCATATGTCCTAATATAGCCTCCTCTGTTTTTCTCTTCTATCTGAATAAATGACAATAAATGAATAAATGACCTCTGCCTGAGCAATAAAATGGTAACTGCTCTACAAGCACGGAGACTGCTTCTTTTGTTTTAGAAAATTTCGGGAATTAATGTATATAAATTCGTTAAGAAATAAAAAAAGATTTGTTAGTTATTTTAAAATTTTAACTCCAAATATTGAATTTGAGTGCTATAAAATATTATTATTAATATACTTAATTTTCACTCCTTATTACCTTTGAAATAAATGACTGTCCCAGGCTATATGAAGTACAAATTTTATAAATAAAACTATAAAATATAGATTTTATTAAATAAAATAAAATACGATTTTCTAAAATAAAATCTATTTTTTATATAAATATAAAACTTTGATATGGAATGTACCCATTCCTACATGATTCGATAAAACTTGAGATGTAACTATAGTATAATAGTATAACTTTAGTAAATGTAGTATATAATACAATTTAATTGGATCAATAATGATCCCATTTTTAAGTATTATAAGTTGATTACAGTTAATGAAGCGCACTATGGTATTATTTACATTTTATTGTTATATTAATATAAATATTCGTTCTTATATGTGTTATTATAAACATTATTTTAATAAAAATTTTAAATAATACTTTCTAACATATTATATTTTTCTATTATAGACTACTCACAGATGTACCAATCAAAATTCGAAGGTTTTCTGTACTACTCTCTGATGGCACAAACAATTTTAAATTGCAAACATCACAATATAGTACGTTTTCTCAACTTTCGGATATGCGTGAATATTTTATAAATAAATCTACAACAAGTCCAAAAGTTTTACAATTCGAAAACGATCTAAAACTACAACCAAATATGTACTATCATTTTTTGTACACAACAGAAGCTCAACAATTCTTAGAAAATACGCAGTTACGTGTAACTCGTATAGAAACTGAAATGGGTACAGATAAAATATTCGCTTTATTGACCAAAAATGCTGCATTCACGATCAATGCATTTCGATATCATCGACGGACCAAAGACCTCGATGACAATATTGTCATTAATCCAATATGTTATATTGCTCCTACGTATGTACAATATAAATTGTATCTTTATTTATTATTAAATAAATTACATTTTTTTTTATTTTACTTTTGTGTAGATTCCATTTAGTCACGCAAACTAACCTTGACAATAAAACGATGTTAGTCAATGAGTATCATTCCGTGATCACAACTGTAAGCAATCCGTTCAATGTATTTTTACAAAATGTGGGTTTTAATATAAGTGTACCGAGTCATTTACGAAATAAAGGTAAGTTTTTTAAATATGAAATAAAATAATAAAATACATAATAAAATTACTCGTTGTGATTTTATATGAATTATTTGAAATTATATTTTTTAAATAATATACTGAATTTATAATATGTTTAGTTTACAGAAATTGAAATATTATTTTTCTAACATTGAAAAGAATCATCCCTATAATTTATTAATTGTTTAATTAATGACCTTAGTTGAGCAATTTAAAATTAATTAAAAACTTTTTATATAAAAATAATTTACTCATTTCATATATTTATGTACTGTTATCTATAATCTCACCAACAAAAATAAAATTCACACTCTATATCCGGTTTAAATTAAACTTGAATAAATATTAAAATTCTTGCGCTAAATATTAGCAACTATAAACTGACAATAATTCTGTTTGAGTACCTCAATTAAATATTCAATATTTTGGTAAACAGATTTGTCTCAAATCTATAATAATTTCATTTTGCAATAAATTAATTAATTTTTTTTTTCTTTCATTTCATATTATTTTAATTTATTTCACATTATTTCAATTTATTTCATATTCTTTTGTATAAATCCTCGTACAACATTAACGTTTGTATATATACCAGGATATGCTCGATTTGCACAGCCAATACCCCAAGAGGTTATGCCACATAGTTCGCCATTATAAACCAGTGGGCCGCCAGAATCACCCTGACATGTATCTCTACCTTTCCAACGTGCACACATCATAGATTTTGACAATACTGCTTGTCTTCTATATCTCTTAGTACATCTGCTTTTACTTATAATTTTTAGAGTTGCAGTCTTTACTTGATTCGATGTCCTTGAAGTACCCGATTTCGTTACACCCCAACCGGACACTTGAACACTTCTTCCAACATTTACACCGCCCGAACATAAATTTATTGTTCCAATATTTTCGCCCGTTAATGGGCTGCCCAATTTTAAAACTGCCACATCATTTCTCATTCTTGTCATAGTAAACGATTTTGGTATAGCAGCTTTAATAATTTTTCTTGTCACACTACCTCTATCAAGATACGAACTTCCGGCGTGTACAGTAAATCGCCGTAATGCCACGCCTTTCACACAATGTGCTGCCGATACCACAAATTGTGGTTTCACAAGTGCTCCTCCACATACAAATCTACCATCTTTCCGTAGATTTACTAAATATTTCATATTATCAATTGTTGTTTTCCGACCACCGATAATTTTTGCTCGGTTTGAAATATTTGCCGTAGCATTTCGGCTAACTTTCGCGGCGAATATTTGTCTCTCACCGATTAAAACTATGCATAAAACGATTAAAAGTGAAGTCCTAATGAAATTCATTTCCAGACACGCGAGTTTGTCAACTCTTTCACAGTTTTAAATAAAATAATAATTTTTTAATTATTTTTCTAATTTAATACAAATTTTATTTAAAAAATATTTGTACATATTTATTTTATTTCATAAAAGAAAATATAAAGAAGAAGTAAATATATAATATGTCATTAGTGCATGGCTTAGACCTCACTATTATTTATTTAATCAGTTGTTTAATAATAAATAAATACATAAAGTATTATTAACTCTAAAATTCTGAAAATAAATAAACAATATTTTTTAGATTTGCAAATTTAAATTTTACAAAAAGTGTATAATAAATAAATTGTATCAGCTTAGTCTTTATTAATAGCACATTTTATAAGAAAAGTCTTCGTTTTAATGTCAATACATAATAAATGATATTTAATAAATATCTTTATATTTCGGTGATTTTCCTACATGCAGTACAAACCCGATATTAAAAACGTAGTAGTACGAAAAAGTTGACATCTTCTTAGTATATAGGGAATTGAACGATTATTGAAATCGTTTTGTTTTAATTATCTCAAGATAATGAGATACTTTATCTAACCATATTTGAAACCTATGGTATACTACTTTATTGATTAATGTTTAGTATTATTGTTAAGGGAAGTGTTTGCTTGTTAACAGAACCCAGTTTAAGTCTTTGCCTGGCGGAGTTACTATATTAGCCGTTATTAGTGAGTTCAGAAGAATTCATATTTATTTGTTTATATGTGACTTTAATCTTTTCGGTAGATATTGTCTATCTACCTATCACAGCTAATTTTATTTAGCCCACACTCTATCCGATTCAAACCCTCTGGGACTATAGTTTAACCAATAGTGTTAATTGCATTTCTATTGTTTATTTCTTTCTTAATTGTATTAAGTATAGACCTCTTTTTCTATATTGACATATGATTTAGTATTTGCACTTTTACTGGTTATCGTTCCTGAGTTTCCTCGATAATTTAATAGCGTTCCACATAAGTTTGAAATCATAAAAAGCCTCTTTGGTTGTTCGTTAGGTAAAAATAAAGTCTACTGCAAATAACTATTATATAAGTCAATAAATAAAGTTTATATGTTGCCACTCCGAATTTTTTCTTCATGTTGTGTCGTCAATCAGATATTAGCTAGTCTTAAAATTATCTCCCTATATTATAGATATTCAAATTATTTAGTAATCCGTACTCATTCTTCTCAAGCCTCAGTAATTTTATAATATATGTGTGAATTCACTGAGAAATTCTTGAGGTCAGTTATAGATTCCGCATTAAGGTCCTATTTAAGTTACAACTAATCACCCCATACATTCAAAAAGAAGAAAGACATTTTCTTCGGAAAGTGAGAATTATTTCTACTTGACTGAGTAAAAGTACAATGACATGCTTGTGCTCTTAAACTTCCAGACTCTTGCTAACATAATACACTTGTAATCCTGAAAATTTTGTGTATATATTATTTTAGTCATGTTGACGTATACGTTTGTTCTATTGAAGAATTTAAAATCTGTGATTCTAGATATGGGTAGATTCATTTAATGTCTATACTCTTTTTTTCATTTTTTTTCTTGGTATGATTTTCAAACAGATCCACTTGCAGGTTTCAACAATTTCTCTTCCTTCAAATTTATTGTTAACTTGAAAAATGTAAAGCTTTTAGAGATTTTTCTATTTCTATAAAAGAGATTTTTCTATTTCTCTATTGAGGCTATTGAACTTGTAATATTATATATAGTAAGAGGCAGTAGATTTTGACTAAACTGTATATATATTGATTTGGACTCAAATAAACTTAAGCACTATATTATCATAATTCTATAATTAACCATACTGTATATAATCTCTCTTTTACTTCAATTGGAATTATCTACAAATATATACACATATTAACATATATCCCCAATAACAAAATAATAAAAACTAAGTCAAAGGCCAGGAATATATTTTTATTTGTCTCCAACAATAAAATATTTATTTATTTCATATTATTATTAATGAAATTTTTGACCACGTTCACATTAGTATATATACCGGGATAAGCATTGACAGCACAACTTATACCCCATGATGTGATACCACATAGTTCGCCATTAACAACCATAGGACCACCAGAATCTCCAGAGCACGTATCTCTGCCCGTCCAACGTGCACATATCATAGATTTTGTTAGCGTTTCTCTGCCTCTGTATCTTCTTATACATTGTTTCTTATTAAATAATCTCAATTGTGTTGTTCGCAATTGATTTGATGCAGTGCTGCTACTGGTAGATGTTAATCCCCAACCTGATACTCTAACAATTGTACCTGCTTTAAGGCTTGTTGTACATAAATTGATAGTTCCTATATTAGTACCAGTTAATTCACTTTCCAATTTTAAAATAGATACATCGTTTTGCATTTTTGTCATTGTGAAAGATTTTGGTATAGTCGTTTTGATAACCTGCCTTGAAACACCACCACTATCGAGATAAGTACTACCAGCATGCACTTTTAAACGTGAGGCAGCCACTCCTTTTACACAATGTGCTGCAGAGACGACATATTGTGGTTTTACCAATGAACCGGTACATATAAATGTACCATCTTTGCGTAAATTAACTACATAATTCATTGTATCAATTGTAGTCGTAGTTCCACCTATAATCTTAGCTTCAGTGCCGCTTGCTGCTGGTTTCTTAGCCACTGGTTTCTTCGCTGTAAGCTTATTTGCTGAAGCTTTTTTCGCTGATGTCTGTTTTACTTGCGTTTTTTTGGCTCCAACATTTTTCGCCACAGATGTATTTCTACCGGTTTTCTTCACTGCAGATCTATTAGCTGCAACTTTTTTTACTCTACTATTTTTTGCTTTTCGTCTAAATCTTTTCGATTGAGCATCGCATTCTGCAATGAGAATAGCACATAACGCCACTAAAATTATAATATTAATTATTTTCATATCCCGGACTTTGTTACTTCGTTGACTGGTGTTAACAAAATAATCCGTAAAAAATATTTATGCTCTTATTTAATACGATTTTTTAAGTAAACATTAAAAAAAATTAAATTTATTATAAATATTATTTATTTAATATAGCGAAATTTTCAATTGTCTTGACTATCTTTCACTTTATTCGGCATAACTTATTTAATCAGTTGTTTAATTATAATCAAATATTTAATGCACGTTCTATAATTACGTCTAATATGTCGTAAAACAGACACCTTTTAAAGTACAAATTACTTTATATTGTTTTTTAATATATTTTAAAAAATAATATATACTTAAACAATAAATGTATCACGTTTATATACAACTCAGTAGAGGATAAATATATATATGTTTAGTCCTTTACTATCCCTAAAAGATTTTCTAATTATTAATATGGTAGCAGATTCATTAAAAAGAGGCTTTGTCTTATTTGTTGATGACGACATTAAGAAAGTCGACTGAAGACATTAAGGCATTAATAGTCGACTAGGTATGTAATCTATAGGTAGCACTTCAGGAATAGGAACGAATTCTTAGTGTTAAAATTATTAAATTTGGTTTTGATTATATCAAAGTTAGGTACGCAGGTCAATCTTAGCCGGAAGTACATGCTTAGATTGATTATCCTTTCACAGCAAACAAATACAATAGAACAATTCAGCTCCTTCAATTACCTACCCCCAACTTAAAATAAACATTTATTTGAACGAAGGAACAGTTATATCAAATATTTATAGAATAAAATTTTTTAAACGGAACTAAAAGTTCAGCAAAGTTCTATATAAGAATAATTAATTTGTTTTTGTTATCAGTGCTGTCTCTCTGTTTCATTTAATAACTTGTATAGATCGATATAACTAACATTTCATAGAGTCGTGTCAGACGATACCCTTAAACAGGGCTGTTCAGACCAGATAAGATCGCGAGCCAATACAAATCACTGAATAGGTTGGAGGGCCGCAGAAATAAATAAATACTTTCATAATTTTTCGACCATTATGTTAAATTTAATTTTAGTAATTCTTTATTAATTTATTTTTTACAATTCTATCAATATCAGCATTATTAATATTAGTTGGATTGAAGTTATTTGGCCCAGTTGTAGAAAGAAATATTTACTAAAGTCTTTATCAATTAATTAAATTAACGTGAGGTGTAATAAATTATTTAGAATCTTTTTAATTCATTTATTTGGGTTACCATAAAAATAATTTAATTTAATGTTACTCAAAAATAACAAAGAAAAATTTGCCTAATTGTGGTAGATTAGAAACATGTTGCAAGCCCCACGAATATTAGTCGCGGGCTGCATGAGCCCCGTAGCCCGTGCTTTGGACAGCCCTGCCTTAAAATATGTTGTGATTGAGTCGCTTTTTATATTAAGTATTCTTGAAATTTTTTTAGTCACAAAAGCCATTTTTAAATTTAATAAGTGTCCGTACTAACAAAGTTTCCATATACCTCCAGCTCAAAAAGTACCCGGATTTTTTAAATAAAACATATAAATTTAAGTTTTATTCCAAATTTGTTTTATCTCCTTCAAAATATACTCCTTCTGAAGCGATACACATATGCTAACGCTTAACCCAATTTTCCGTACACTTTTTGTAAGCCCGTGCAGGTATGGCTTTTAGTTCCTTCGGCGAATTCTCTTTTACCGATTCAATCGACTCAAAACGCTTACCACGAAGTGGCAATTTGAGTTTCGGGAACAGGAAAACATCGCACGGATCCAGATCTGGCGAATATGGTGCCTGAGCGATGACAGTGGTGCCATGTTTGGTCAAAAAATCGGGTACAACAAGAATTTTCCATAGTAAAAATCGCTAAATGCACTTGCGGTAGTCTCACATTAACACCTGCTGTAAAGAAACTAATTGACAGATGGCGCTCAAATTTGTACCATATGTCAAGAAAGGGTGTACCAACATAACAAAAAATTCTCAAATTTTTGAAAAAGGTCTATTTATTAAGAAGTAGTTAACAAACAACAAAATCCGAATACTTTTTGAGCAGAAGGTATCTACTATGTTAAATATACTTTTAATATGTGGAAAAATATAATAATATCACTTCTAACCAGAGGAAACAATTTTTACAGTGTATTACAAATATTAATAACTAATACAATAAAGTTAAATATTTGTTATTTGTATTTACATATATTAACATGATTATATTCTATTATTGTTTTAGGTGTTTTGATATGCAGACAGATTTCATTCATAACATGCATAAGCTTACCTAAATAACTTTTATTTATGAAATTAATTTCTATAATATAAACTCCATAATTATTATGTATTAAAAGTTGTCAAATTTTTATTTCTAAAACTCTTTCTTACTATCTGTACAATAGTTCTAACGAATTTGTTGTATATATTGTGATTGTGTACTCTATCACACTGTTCGTTGATAAAAATGTATAAATTTCCTCCATATCTCATTTACCTATGGTTATATATAAAAATCGTTCAAAAGTTTCAACGCGTGACTTTAAAGTCGAGTAACTAATGGTTTTTTTTTTGAAAATTGTATGAAAAAATAATAGGTATCTGTCGAATACAAAAGCACCATTAAAATAACACTGGCGAGAATTTTCTATCAAGATAAATTAAAATGACACAACATGTAAATATAAATCAGTGAAGTTTCTAGGTGTTACATGCTATAGTCACCTACGACGACTAGTTGTTCGCCGCTAACCTTAATATATTACCGTTCAAAAAGACTATGAAATGAAATCATATATAATAAATGTAAATAAATTAGTTCGATGTTTTTTTTCTAAATTTTCGGATGTTTTTTTTTTGCGTAATACCATATATTTTGAATCAGTATCCATTACTTATAATAACATTGTAAATTCTATGTAATTAATAAGTTTTAATTTAAAGTAAAAATTGTATATTTTCAACAGATTTGATAAAAATCTGCGATTACTTTTGTACATAGGTATACGAGTATCTCATTCGCAATTAAAGCAAATTTTTTAATTTATTTTTATTACGTTGGTTTGATATTAACCACTCAACTAAGTATAGGAATTTTTCACTTTTAACGTAATGTGCACCATTAAAAAACATAATATTTTTACTTTAAATTTTTATTATATTTTTATTGATTTATCAATAAATGGTTTAACATATTTAACACTTGTAAAAACACCAGGCGTATTTTTACGTGCGCAACCTGCACCCCAGGAAACAATACCGCAAAGTTGACCTTTAAATACTGCTGGACCACCAGAATCGCCAGAGCAGGCATCTTTGCCAGGGGCCAATGTACAAAACATAGATTTTGTTACAGTAATATGTGAACCGTATTTACTTTTACAATCCTTTTTTGATATGAGCGGTAAATTTACCGTTCGTATACGATTTGATGGATTTTTATTAGATTCAGTAGTTAATCCCCAACCAGAAACTGTGACTTGATCTCCAACTTTCCAATTCGAATTACATAACTGAATTGTCTTTATATTAGCACCAGTCATTGGAGTGCTCAGTTTTAAAACAGATACATCCATATTTAAGGTTCGAGCTTGAAAGGAACTTGAAGTAAAGATTCTTTCAACGTTACGTCTTACGCCCGTATCTGTTAGATAAGTAGCACCGCCTACCACTATTATACTGCGCGAATTATGACCAACGGTGCAGTGAGCTGCTGTCACAACGTGCCGTTGCGTTACTAAAGACCCACCACAACTAAATTCACCATTTACACGTAATTGCACCAAATATGGTGTGTTACTTATCACATTCGTTGTGCCTCCTACAATTCTTGGATTCTGTACTGGCGAAAATTGTAGGGCACACTTTCCGAATAGTCCGAAGCATATGAATGCCAAAACTAAACTTATAATAAATGATTTGTACATTTGCAATCAAATTCACACACATTCATGAAATATTTAAAGCGTATTTAATTAATTGATTTATTTAATTAATATTGCTTGCTGATCCCAGACTAATATACGTCCTCTCCATTTATAAGTGAGTATTAAACTGAGACAATATTTCAATTTTTGGTTTATTTAAAATTTATATTTAATTATAAATATTAATATTTACTATAAAATATCTACATATTATGTACTAATTATTTGCAATAATATAATTATTGTTCTTTATATGTGAGCTGGTAGGAATAATTAAAATTTTTAATCACTGCAATCTGTTGCATTTTTTCTAATTTGTTTAGCTAAGCTCGTGCGAATAAATTAGTTTAATCATGAATTACAAAAGTATCTAATCAAATTCGTCTACTATAATTTCTATCCGACGACGATATGCAAACAAAAAAAAATAAATTTTGCCAATAAACAATTTAAAGAAATAATTTGAGGATATAAAATCTCAAATTCACTGTTGTAATCAAAGTTTATTATAGTTATTTAGGTAGTGCCTCAAAACAAAATTTACATTATTTTTAATAGATATTCTTACAAAAATTTGCAATTCTAATGACAATTGTATTCTTCTCTTGTGATAATATTCTGCTTTATATTACTTTTTATTTCTTTAAATTTCGTTGCTGTTGTTATATATCTATTTAAGTAGAGCTAAGTCGACATCTACACTGGTAAGACAAGACTTTGACAAGATTTTTATGTTCGAATACAAATACTTATTAATGTTAATTGTTTTTGTCAAATGTGACGCTCCATATGACGAACTGAAACTAGATGAGTTCGAACAATAATGAAGAAGTAACAACAAAAATTTAATTAAGTTATTTCTAAATTTCAATAAATTAATCAAATTTTTGTTGTTGCTTCTTCATTACTCTTCGAACAAATACTTATTATCGAATTTTATCTGTAAGCAAATATTTTTCGTGTAACTATAAAAATCTTGCCAAAAACCACCCAGTATAGACGCTGGGTATGTATTTACATATAAAGTACCTCAATATATATTTGAAAATTTTTGTAAAATTGTATTCCATTATCATAGACCCAATATACTTCGAGCTTTACAAACATATTACAAAGATTTTTTACTTTTTCTATACCTTCTAAAAAATAAAGATATTTGAAGTTGTCAAACTATTAATTAGTTATAGAGGTTTTGTCTGAATTCGATTGAAATTTCTTCGCAGCGTCTTTTTTTCGAATTTATAAATAAAAGAAAGTCGGATGGTTTGGTAAATATGGCAACATTTCATAACGTTATTCTAAAAATTTTGTTGTTGCAGTTGCTGACGCGCGATCTGATGTGTTGCAACTATGTTACAAAATATTTTCTTTTTTAAATCCGTCATTTTTTACCCTTAATTTCACAATCTGAATGATCCAAAATGTTCGTATACTAGATGTTTAGGACTTCTGCCTTCAATGTGGATTGTCAGGTCTGGCGTACTAATTGTTTGTTATCTATGATATAACAACAAGCCATTATTTATGCTCACATGAACTGGTACACAAGACTACCTCAAGTGCATTTAGCGATTTTTACTATGGAAAATTCTTGTTGCACACTATTTTTTGACCAAACACGGCACCACTGTCATCGGTCAGACACCATATTCGCCAGATCTGGCGCCTTGCGACTTTTTCCTGTTCCCGAAACTCAAATTGCCCCTTCGTCGTAAGCGTTTTGAGTCGATTGTATCGGTAAAAGAGAATTCGCTGAAGGAACTAAAAGCCATACCTGCATGGGCCTACGAAAAGTGTATGTAACATTGGATTAAGCGTTGGCATATGTGTATCGCTTCAGAAGGAGCATATTTTGAAGGAGATAAAATAAATTTGGAATAAAATTTAAATTTGTGTGTTTTATTTACAAAATCCGCATTACAATATGAGCAGAAGGTTAAAAAGATGCAGAAATTTCTTTAAATAATGTTTAAAAAAAATTTTTTTTGTTTTGTCCGGACAGGAGGGAAACGCTCCAGATGCCTTTTATCTATATCTATTTTTTTAAATTTATGCGATCCCAATTTCCGATAATTTTTTCTGTCACCGTCCTTGAGGAAAAATTTCCTACTTGCATTGCTAGCATTCTCCATCGACTGTCTGTCGATATTGTTGTTCCCCATGGGACTTGCTTGCCATCTTGCCTTTCGCTCTTGAACCTGTAGATCAATGGGAATATTGAAATGATTGCGCATAATACTTAGAACTGATTACTTGAATATGTTCTTCTTCAACTATGAAAGATATGCTGCGAACACTACAAAAATCATTCGACAAGATTTTACTTACAAAATTAATAAAAAATTATAACCGAATAAATTTTCATTAAAAGGATATAAGACGTAGTCTCAATTTATACTAAAAACAAATCGCAAATTTAAAAATTTTTAACAATAATCGAATAGTGGTATAATGCGCAAAAAGTTATTACAGAAAATAATCACTAAAAGCTAATATCTTATTACTTGTTTTAGTATTTTTCATTACTCCAGTTCTAAATAAAATATAAAGTTTCAACCCACTGTAATTAGCTTCATATATCATTTTAACACGATTAGTTTATCGGAGTTCCAAAACAATATAAAATATATTAATAAAAATTCATGATCAAATCAAAAAAAAAAATATTTTGATTTCAAAATAATTAAAAATAATTAAATCTAATATAATTTTTAAAAAATTATATTTTCTATTTATTATTATTTATTATTAATACAATAAAATTAAACAAAAAGATATAATTAACAATTATACCTCATAGTTTGTTTTAAAAAAGCATTTATTCTCGCACTTGCCACATTTGTGTAAACACCAGGATATTGAGATCTTGCGCATCCTATACCCCAAGAAACAATACCGCACACTTGACCATTATAAACTAGTGGTCCTCCAGAATCTCCTGAACAGGAATCCCTTTCGCCTGCTTCAGTAGCACAGAACATCGAACTTGTCACACTAACTTTGTCTGCGTATGCTTTAACACAATCCATTTTTGGTACCACTTTAATATTGGCTGTTCTTAACTGATCAGGTGGTTGGCTTTCATATTCATTTGTTATACCCCAACCTGATATTCTTACTGTCTGTCCTACGCCCGGTTGTCTATTGCATGTTCTTATGGTACCAATATTATGTCCACTCAATGCAGAATTCATTTTAATAATAGCCACATCCATATCTAAAGTAGCCGGTGAGTAAAATGGTGATACAAAATACTTCTGCACTTGTCTAGTCGTTGCTACTTCAGATAGTCGACTAACACCAGCATTTATGGTTAAAGAGCTGGGCACTACACCCTGTACACAATGTGCAGCAGTTAATACACAATTTTTTGTTATTAACGAACCACCACATATGAAACGACCGTTCTGGCGTAAATAGACTAAATACGGCATTTGATCTATTGTTGTTTCTACGCCGCCTACTATCCTTTCCTTCGTTTCCAATGTTGGTATAGTGTCTATCAAAAGGATACATACCAATAATGTATTACCGAATTTTAGAAAATGTTTTAAAAACTGTGTTCTACGCATTACGTTACTATCGCAAATGCCGTAGAAAGTGTTTGTTTAACTTTATTAGTACGTTTCTATATAATTGACATCTAAACTTAAGCAAATTGCTACTAATTTAAAGTAGTTCAGTTTGTGTTTCACATAAAAGGTAAATGCTATTTATATGTGTGCTAATTACTATTATTATTTGCTCTGAATTGTTATGTGTTTACAATAAGTAGTATTATTAAGTTACTATTCGAGTTTATCACGAGATCTGCCTAATTTGTCAACTTGAGCACAGCTTTTAAGGGAACATCAAAATGATTTAGTATTTTATAATATGCTAATAAACCTAATATTGACTCTCATTTAGACGTATTTATTTTAGTTCTATTTTTTTTATCTAGTACAACTTCAGCTTCACAACATTGTTTCGAATATCTGTATATGACCGTTATAGTGCATATTATATATATTCATTTTTACAATTTATTTTACTTTTTTTACTGCTTTGATACCTTTTTCGCTGTTTCATATCTAATAATCCATCACATATCTTATAATTCTCACTATGTTTGAATGATCATAACTGCATTCAATCGTATTAAATTGTGAAAGCATTTGCGGCTAATAGATAGTGATCGTTATTCCAAAAGTAAGCGTAAATAACTTACGATACAGATTTTGATCATATTTTTATTTGAATATATTCTTAAAGACTTGTCATTAGATTAAAATATAACATAAAATGTCTCCATTAAACATCTTCTGGTGCTGAATTAATTCAAGTTAATTTTTAATTACTTGTCACTACTTAAATGGCAGTAAGTTGGGCATAACTTCACAGAATTGTCCACAAAAATACAATTCTATGTATATATATATGTATATATATAATATGTATATATATAATATGTATATATACATGATGTATCTTCTATATGATGTATCTTCTACATATATATGAAACGCGATCGAAAATAAAAGTTTTTGTTAAACCTACGTCTAAAAATTTCGAGCCTATCCCTAGGTGTAAAAATATTTTTAATATAATATATGTAAAGAGTTTCTATGCCTTTATTTAAAATCAATTTTTTTTTAAATTAATTAATAAATTTTATAGCGTAACATATAAATAAGAAAACATTTCAACATTATCGTTCAAACTATATTTCTTTATTGGAGCCAGGATCTATTTGTTTTTGACTCCCTAAATTTGACTTTTTTATGGTATTTATATTTTTGCAAATTATAAAGGCAATTTTTAAGTAAAAACAAATTATAAAAAATTTGACAAACAAAACAATTATGCGCAGAATAAAATAGCTACGCAATTTTCGAAACATTCAATAAAAATCAGCTAAAGAACTCTACCGATCACACCTCATACGTCAAGTTATCAAAAATCTATTACATCTTTAAAAGAATCGTCATAAACTATTAACTTGCAAGCTGTTGTTTTCATGATATAATAACTAGATCCTATTTTGATACTAACCCATGTTATAGTCCATCACCCAGAATCAATAAACACAAATTCCGTATGTAATATAAGCA